TTGCTTTGTAGATATTATCATTTTTGGCGAATCGTATTGACAAGAGAGACTGCAAGGCTCGTGTGTTGGTGAATTTCGGAAAGTGGGAATCGTCGTGTGCCTTCGCGCTTTTTCGTCATTTGTCTAAAAGCCTGCATCAAGTACTCTGCGGAATTATAATAGAAACATTTGATTTATAATCTCAAAGTTCGTTTCGAGTAAGCCTTTGAATGTTAAAAAAAAAAAAAAAAAAAAAAAAAAAAAAAATAATTCAATAACATTAAAATAAGGAATGTATGATTATTCTTATCGCGATTCCGATGTGAAAAAAGCAACCCGATCGATGTATGAAGTATCGAAAAATATACTCTTAAGATAAAAGAATAACTGTAATACGCGTACGTACGCACAAAGTTTATAATTATTGCCAGCGCACAAAATTATTTCTCGTCAGTGAAGTGAAGTTAAAATTTCAAGCATATCGCTAGTAGGGAATTGCAAGAATATGCTAAACGGGTTTCCGAGACTAGCCGATTTACCGGGGCCACACGTAAAAGGCCATTTTATATAACTTGTAGATTTTTATGTAGACCGAATCGCCTTTTCTTTCTATTTATATTTTTCATGTAATTGAGAAACAATAATGTGGCGCAAAGGTACGTGAAAATCATCGATCGCGTGTAACTTACAATTTCGCTAATTATTAGAAATAGCTATTTCATATGAACCAATTTTGTCTACCCCCATGATAAATGAAGGAATACAATTGTTCTTTAGTTAAAGAAAAAAACAATTTTCTTTAATTTTACTACTCGGTACTTAGTTATGATGAATAATGAATAATTGTCGAATTATATTTATATAATGTAGCGCTATTGTCATTATTTTGATACGGAAAAATTTACGGAAATAAAATAAGAAGAATTTTAAACAAAAGAAAGTATACACAAATGTTGTTTCTATGATTTTCACATTAATTGGTGTATTAAAGATAAATAAAAATGTTGATAAAGCAATTACATGTGATATTGTCCAGTATGCAAACGTCGCTCAATATTTATTCAATATTTTTCTCGGTCCCGATAATAAATCAGGCGGCTTATATATGTTTATTAAATAATTTTATTTGTACTTTAAAATCTTTTGATTTTTGTCTCAAACTGATATCACAATAATGCTTCCCAGAATAAAACGATAAAATATTTTCTTTTCCCAATGCAAGCTTTTTTATACTTATTTCTCATATAATATGAAACTTTTTATTTCCACTCGAATCGTGACGTTTCAAAAGGGCTAAAATATAAATTAAAATTATGTCGATAATACATACTATTTTCACTTTATGATAAATTCATGAATAATAAATTCAAGAACGAACAACACCGATCGTTTATGGGCATATTTATGGCGCAAGACATCGAGAGAGAATTTGATAAATCTAACCCAATTGACACAATCCTTTCGAAAATTTAGCATCTCCTTTTACTTTCCATCATGCACACGGAGCTGGTCAGACTGTCTGGAAATAAATTTGAAATTTTGCGAAATTCTGTTCATCGAAGGTAAGCGCAGGCCTCCGCGTATGGCAACAATCCCTTATAGATCAGCTCTCGGCTCTCGTTCGTCACCAATGACTTTACGATAGTAGTAACGATCTATCATTCGACCTTAATGAAGCTAAAATAGATCCCGAAACAACTGGCGTCGCCCACGAATCTCTAGGATCAAGACGATGGAGACGAGGATGGGAATTTGATTATACCATCCGATATAAGAAACTCGTCGTTTCACACACACGCGCGCGCGCGCGCACACACACACACACACACACACACACTCTCTCTCTCTCTCTCTCTCTCTCTCTCTCTCTCTTGTAGATGGTTAAGCAACGTCAGGCATGGCTAGCATTGAGATGGGTGGCTGACCGATTAGCTGTGCAAAGGAAACCGATGGAGCAATCGGCTGATAATCCGGGCGTTTATCGAAACTTTGACCTCCGTCCGTTGCTTTTGCTTAGGAACAAGTGCGGGCGATGCGACGAGGGGAAGGGCAAACGGAATGCAATCGAACAATGGCGTTGCCCTCGTCACTACCTCCCGCGTTTGTAGGTACTTTTTTTTTTACGTGGGGTCGTGGGTGCCCAAGACAAAGCAGATAAATAATGGGTGGCGAGTGCAAATAAACGAGAACGAGGGGGCCTCGCCTTCTCGAGATTTTCGCAAAACGCTTTTAAAGCTCACGAGTGATAAAATTTCAGGGCATCGTCGAATCGAACTGATAATAAAAAAAATGAGATATTGCTCGTAATCTCTGCGCAAACGGTAATTTCATACAATTTACGTATCAATTTCAAAAAAATGTGTGAAAATAACAACATATGGGGTCGTTGGCGTCGACTCGTTATTTCGAGATGCGGATTTGCAAAAGGAAGCTCACATCGTGTACATAATGGATGTACGTGCTCGTGAACTAACATAATGTAATGAAACATATGTACGTGCATTGCGCATGAGCAGGTAGTACGTAGACCTGCGCGCGTTGCACAATATCAAATTTACTTTTATCTCGAACGCGCACGACTTGAAAATAAATTGGCAACCTTTGGAATATTTTCGAAATTATTAAAGCACTTTCGATCGTTTGAAACGTTCTTCTAGTTGGCCGTCGTGTGTGACGTGTGCTGAAGTTATTGCAGAAGTACGCGTACGCAGACGAGAGAAACCTTGTTTCAGGAAATGATAAATATTTTTTATATCCTGCGAAACCAGTTTTACATCATAAGCGCGTGCATCTGCAAAGTTCATTAAACCATCAGCTCTTAGCTCGCCTCGGTCATTGGTACACAAATTTAATTCTCGTCAGTGCACAAAAGCATTGGCTATGTCTCCAAGCGAGAAAAGCTTATAAGATAGATAGAGATGACGAGATGACAGAGACAGAGATACAGAGATGAGTGAGGGGAAAGGGACGATGAGAGATAGACACAGAGAGAGAGAGAGAGAGAGAGAGAGAGAGAGAGAGAGAGAGA